TAACACACACTACTTGGCTGTTACAACCGTTCGATTACTTATAGAACACCAGTGAGCAGCACTCGATCATTCTCACTAACACACACTACTTGGCTGTTACAACCGTTCGACTACTTATAGAACACCAGTGAGCAGCACTCGATCATTCTCACTAACACACACTACTTGGCTGTTACAACCGTTCGACTACTTATAGAACACCAGTGAGCAGCACTCGATCATTCTCACTAACACACACTACTCGACTTTTGAACTACTGCTACATTACTCAGCTGCTCTTAGTGCTATGCTACTGATACAATATGAATGGACACTATTTATGTTCTTATTCCTGTGAAGTGATGTCTGGCGAATGCGGAGGCCATGGAATTGGCCCACTCCAACAACTCCATACCATTGAGCCTTTTGTTGCACAGTTGTAACTTTATGGAAACAAAGACATGACAATGCAAATTGTTTGAGTGGGGTTTCAAGATGTTGAAAACTATGTGGTTGTATTTCTCTAGTTATTTAATTATTGAATTTTAAAATAGGAAAGATAATTTTGGACCACCTTATATACTTCTTCAAGTGGGTTCCACGTCATCATGAACAGTAGGCATCATTTCTGCCTTTCTCAATGTTGGACTACTTGTACAACACCAGTATACATTAGTGAAACTGTTATTATTGTTGGACTACTGATACAACACCAGTATGCATTACTTGGGTTTTCCTCACTGTTGGTCTACTGATAAAACACCAGTAGGTATTAGTCAGGGTAGCAAGGTCAACGGATGGCCTAAGGGTGTGGTCGACCATTTCCTTTGCGAATCAACCCAGGTCCAACTGACCCGACTGGTAGTACCTGGAAGGGTCCCTTACACTGGGTCACAAATGGAGGCCAATGGCGGACGCAGCAGGAAACTGGTGGAGAAGGCGGAAAAGCTATGACCTCAGAAGACAACCGTGCTTTCAAGTGGAGGATTTTCTGAAAATAGATGTGGTGCCCTATTTTAAACTCACCCAACAGAAGAGAACGGTTGCTTGCAAGTGGAGGATCTTCTTAAAAAAGAGGTGGTGATCTCTTTTAAACTCACCCAACAGAAGACAGATTTCATAGAACAACTCAGAAAGCTACATATCAGATCCCAGGATATTCTGGTCAGAGATCTATTTACCAATGTTCCAACCTCAGAAACCCTTCACATCCGCAAACAACGACTATTGAATGCAACTCTATCTCCCACACAGAACTGACATGAAGATGACGCCATCATGGAACTAACGACTATTTGCCTACAATCAACTTATTTCCAACACAACGAGGAATTTTACGAACAAACAAATGGTCTAGCCATGGGATCACTACTTTCTCCAATCCTAGCAGAAATTTTATGGAAGATTTTGAATAAAGAGCCCTCTCATCCACACCTATAAAATAAAGTTTCTACGACGTTATGTTGACGAAACCTTCGTTATTTGGACTCACGGTCGTGAAAACTTACCAGCCTTCTTAGAACATCTTAATTCTGTAGACAAAAGAATCCACTTCACCATGGAAATAGAGGAACAAAACAGCCTACCGTTTCTAGATATACTCATCAGCAGACAAGAGAGGAAAAATCACCACAACTGTATACAGAAAACCCACCCACACGAACAGATACCTACACTTCAAGTCCTATCATCCAACCTCGATAAAACATTTTATAATCCAATGCCTAAACAACAGAGCAGAAAACATTTGCAATAAGACATACATCGAATCAGAAAGCCGAAAGATCGTAGAGGGTTTTAAACAGAATGGTTACACCTCCTCCTTCATCAAAAACTCTCTGAAGAAGACCACAACAGAAAGAAAATATCAGACAAACACTACCAATACTACCATTTACCTCCTCTACCTGCAAAATTTTAGTGAAAAAGTCAAACGCATAGTCAAGAAATTCAACATAGATGTCCGGTGGAATTCCTACAAGACATTAAGGTCCATTCTGGTAAAAAACAAAGAGCAACCTACCAATGAAAAACACAAAAACGTCATTTCTGAAATCCAGTGTTCCTGCAACGAAACATACATTGGAGAAACGGAAAGAAGACTCGTGACAAGAATAAAAGAACATAAAGACAGCACAAGACTCATGAAAACACAAAATTCAACCATTGCAGAACACGCCATGTCAACTGAACACAAAATAAACTGGTAAAAAATTAGAATCATTGACACAGACAAGTTTTGGAAGACAAGAAAAATTTAAGGCTCATTTTATATGAACACAATTAAACCTTCACTAAACAGAGATTCTGGATTAGAAGTGAGTAACCTGTGGCTACCATTGGTTGAATCTACAGGAACTCTCTCATGCAATCAGAACCAACTAATCATAACACGCTCTCCATTATCCACTAGAATACTATAAAGACCGACAACACCTTACACACACTGACCTGAAGAAGAAAGGCGGAAGACTTTCGAAACGTCGTCCTCTACACTTGTGTCTCTACAACAGGCAGATGCCATCCATTCTACAAAGTTTCTTCATGAATACTCTGTCTAAACAATATATCAAATAATAGTTGTTCTCACTTTTGGACTACTCATACAACATTAGGGGGCATTACATGCTGTTCTCATTTGTGGATTGCTAATACAACACAAATGTTCCCTATTTGGTTGTTGGTGTACTGATAAAAAAAACAGTAGGCGTCACTCATGCTTTTCTCGCTAATGAACTAATGGTATAATACCACTATGCATTACTCGGGCTGTTTGCACATTTGGTTTACTAATGTGTATCATTAGGTATTACTTAGGATGTTCTGAATGTTGGAATACTGATAGAACACCAATGGATATTACTTAGCTTGTACTCACTATTGGTGTACTGAACAGCCCATTAGGCATTTTGGGATGTCTCATTGTTGGACTACTGATTCAATAGAAGTAAGCATTATTTAAGTTATTTTTTCAGTTGGTCTATTGATGTAACACCAGTTGGCATTAATTCAGCTGTTCTCATCATTTATCAATAGATACAACACCAATAGACACTACTTGGGCTGTTTTCACTGTTGAACTACCGATATACTACATCAGTAGGCTTTATCTGGATTGTTATCTAGCTCTAATTTAACATTTCTCACTGTAAGTACATTGATCAACACTGAAGACATTATTTAGGATGTTCTCACTGTTAAAGTAATGCACGCAGTTCTCACTCTTTTATAACTCTTACAACAACAGTGTGTACTACATTAGTGTTTTCGTTGTTGGATTTCTGAAACATGTGTAATAAATAACTCTCTTTTGGACTACTGATGCATCACAAGTAGGCATCACCTGTGCTGTTGAGCATTACTTATCTGTTCTAACTGCTGGACTATTCATACAATATCAATGACATACACTGAAACTGGGTATTAATTAGCTGTTTTCACTTTTGGATTATTGATGCAGCACAAATGGGTGTTACTTGCCTTTCTAACTGCTGGACTATAGACTGACTCAACAACAATGAGCATTTCATGCTGTTCTCACCTTTGGATTCTAAATACAACACCAATAGGCATTACTTGGGCTATTCACTCAAATGGATTCATTATACAACACCAGGGAGCATTGAATTATTGTTCTCACTGTTGGACTACTGATAAACTATTTGACTGTTCTTATTGTTCTCACTATTGGACTACTGATAAACTATTTGACTGTTCTGATTGTTGATTACTAATACTGTATTAGTGGGTACCACTTCATTGTTCTCACTGTTGGACTACTGATAAACTATTTGACTGTTCTAATTGTTGGTTACTAATACTGTATTAGTGGGTACCACTTCATTGTTCTCACTGTTGGACTACTGATAAACTATTTGACTGTTCTAGTTGTTGGTTACTAATACTGTATTAGTGGGTACCACTTCATTGTTCTCACTGTTGGACTACTGATAAACTATTTGACTGTTCTAGTTGTTGGTTACTGATACTGTATTAGTGGGTACCACTTCATTGTTCTCACTGTTGGACTACTGATAAACTATTTGACTGTTCTAATTGTTGGTTACTAATACTGTATTAGTGGGTACCACTTGATTATTTTCACTGTTGGACTAACACAGCACCAACATGCACTAGACTGTAAATATGAGCTGGACTAATTACATAACATCGGTGACAACAGACTTTTGATGTTACCGTTAGACTACTAATACAGCATCAATGTTGATATGACCTCTGAACTATTGATACTTCAATGACACTAGACTAGAAATAAGCGACTAGAAAATGTATTAATATGTCTTCTATAAACCAATATTCACTACAGAAATTACATAATGACATTAGACTGTTAATAATACTGTTGGACTAATGAGACAGCGTCATTGAACAGTAGACTGTTGATAATACTGTTGGACTAATGAAGCAGCATCATTGAACACTAGACTGTTGATATAACTGGTGAGCTACTGATTTGACCTCAGTCAGCTCTACATGAATATAACGACATTTTCATTTCACTGATCAGTTTTGCTCATTGACTTCACAAACCTGCACCATGAACAGTTTTACTTATCAAAAGAATACTTAAATGCTGTCGAATTCACAATAAAATTACTTCTTTACAGTTTGGAATGCCATCCTACAAGATAACTGACTACACTTATCCGACAGAGGGCGGACTCGCTCGCCTCATCCTCACCTACCAAGGAATAGAATTTGAAAACGTGAGATTTGAAAAGGAAAACGCGTCTGAAGCTGAAGCCGGTAAGTTATTATGTAATTTTGTATTTTTCTAAGACCTTTACGCGTTTTTCATAGACTTAACAATATCGCAAGTAAATGAATATTAGTAGTTATCTCTTTTGTTCACACGTTTCAATTTAAGGCATGAAGTTTGTCGATTTGCTGAAATTTAGAAGTAATTCTTATTCTTCTTTTAAAAGAGTTAACATTTTGATCTTTTTAATAAATTTGATTAATGGAACTAAACATAGTTCAATAATAAACAAAGATGTAATGCATAATACACAACACTGTTTGAAATATATACCCGCGAAACTCTAAAGATGTAATACATAAATATACAACTCTGTTTGAAATATATACCCACGAAACTCTAAAGATGTAATACATAAATATACAACTCTGTTTGAAATATATACCCGCGAAACTCTAAAGATGTAATATATTAAAACACAACACTGTTTGAAATATATACCCGCGAAACTCTAAAGAGATAATACATAATACACAACACAAAGACCTGCGAAGCTCTAAAGGGGAAATGCGTCATACACAACACAACAAATATCCGCAAAGCTCTATAGGAGACATATATAATGTATAACATAATAGTATTCGTAAAAATATTTGCGAAGTTCTAAAGAGGAAATGTGTAGTACACAACAAATATCCGCAAAGCTCTATAGGAGACATATATAATGTATAACATAATAGTATTCGTAAAAATATTTGCGAAGTTCTAAAGAGGAAATGTGTAGTACACAACAAATATCCGCAAAGCTCTATAGGAGATATATATAATGTATAGCATAATAGTATTCGTAAAAATATTTGCGAAGTTCTAAAGAGGAAATGTGTAGTACACAACAAATATCCGCAAAGCTCTATAGGAGATATATATAATGTATAGCACAATAGTATTCGTAAAATATTTGCGAAGTTCTAAAGGGGAAATGTGTAATACACAACACAACAGATATCCGCAAAGCTCTATAGGAGATATATAATATATAGCATAATAGTATTCGTAAAAATATTTGCGAAGTTCTAAAGAGGAAATGTGTAGTACACAACAAATCAAATATCCGCAAAGCTCTATAGGAGATATATAATATATAGCATAATAGTATTCGTAAAAA